GGGGGTTCTACAGAGATAGATAGATACAAAGATAGATAGATAGATAGATAGATAGATAGATAGATAGATAGATAGATAGATAGATGTGTAGATAGACTGTGAAAGAGAGAGGGAGAGAGAGGGAGAGAGTGGAAGGGGAGAAGAGGAAGGACAGAATATCTACGCTTATCTAAGGGTGAGTTTGACGTGTAATTCAGGGAGCTTGATATCGATTACCTCAGACCCATGTTATCGTTCTACTCCTCCTTCTCCTTCTCTCTCTCTCTCACTCTCTCTTTAATTGTTAATGCTTCCAATTCAAGGATCGACCAATCAGATTCATCCCTACTAACACGTTGATCTCGTGTTCACGAATTGTACGAATTCTCTTGAAATAATTACATGGCAATCCCGTTTGTTTCTTTTTTCTTTTTTCTTCTTATCTTTTTTAGATCGAATTTATTATTAGAAATAATAAAATATTCTTAGATCCTTGAAATTCGTTAAATAAATCAAAAAGATAACGTATTAAGTTTAATATTATATATCTTAACATTGTACATTTAACGAGTACATGTCTGTTCGTTATTTATACGATCAATACTTTTAATAAATTTTTAATCAATATTTTTAATGAACGATCGGTATTTATAAGAAAAATTTATTATAAAATATTAGTACGTAATATAAGTGTGTATGTTATTATATCGATTAATAAGAATACTGTCGATATTTTAATTAAAACATTTGTCAATATAATAACATGTAAGAATTTACAATTTAACCTAAACGTAACCCTGACAATTAATTATTTATACCATACACTTATATTGCGACGTTACTGATAATTTATAATAAATAATGCCAAAATTATGTATAATAAATCCAGATTAAAATACGGATAAAATTCACGACACTTGATTTTATTTATCGTTTATATTATATATTAATATTTTATTATAAATATTAATAAAATTATTATAAATAATTTTGTTAATTTTTTTTTTTTATGTCAATCACTTTATATCACGTACAAATATCTTATTAATAAACATTGTACTATCATTTTTGTACAATTTATCTTTCTAAAAATATATTTGTCATTAAAAAAAAAAAAAAAAAAAAAAAAAAGCAACACATTGTACGGAACATATAGAATTCGTTGAAACGTATCTATTTAATGTTCCTAAGTTGATGCATATTTTAGACCACGTTCAGTTTGCACCTCTAATTGTCGAGCGCATTTGCTCGGATAAACGACGAATTTGTGAGTAGCAGAAAAAGGGATAGACGAGGACTATTATTTGCCCTCCTTTTCTTCATTCTCCTCATCCTCTTCATCCTCTTTCATCCTACCTCTTCCACTTCCTCCACCATATCGTTGTCGTTGTCGACGACGTCGTCAACGATTTACGAGCTGCAAAAGTGTAGGACAAGCGTGACCCTGCGATACGTTGGAAGGATCGTTAAATTCGTTCTTAACGGACCGTTGATGAGCCTTGCCCATTAATATACATCCAATGAGACAAGAGTCGCCACGTTGCTTTACCTCTCTCTCTTTCTCTTTCTTTTCTCTCTCTCTCTCTCTCTTTCTCTCTCTCTCTTTCAGTTTAATTCTTTATTTCTTTTTATTTCTCTTTCTCTTTCACTCGCGAAAACGATGAGGCAAGTTTGGTATCTTGCCAAGTATTTGAAAATCGAGGGGAAAATCGAGAAGAGATTCCCAGTTGTTCTCATCTCATCTCATTTCATTTCATCTCTCTCTCTCTCTCTCTCTCTCTCTCTCTCTCTCTCTCTCTCTTTCTCTCTCTCTCTGCCCTCCTTCCTCTTTCTGTCTGTCTGTCTGTCTGTCTTTCTCTTTCAATGTTGAATCTTTTGCAACGGGGAATCGAATATCGTCGATTCGACGAAAGTTAACGATTTCTATAGCCAGGTAGATCAAAATGTGTGTCTCCAGTAAATGTAGGTTGTCTGTTGCAGGGGGAAACGTGGGTATAACTTTATCGATTCTTTAAAAGCACTACTTTCTTATTACCAATGGAATAGAATAAGATTCCTCTCCTGTTGTCCCACTATAAAACGAGAAACTTTTAATCGATTGCTAGGGTATATAAAAACCTGAGCCAACTTTACTCCTTTATTTATTTCTAACAATGGATTAAAAAGAGAAAAAATATCCAAAGAAGTAGAAGAATGAACTAGATTGTTATCTACGAGGGGAAAAGATTCTTGTTACTGTTTTAGATATTTGAAAGTATAAAAAAAAAAAAAAGAAAAAAAAAAAAAAAAGATATATGTATATCTTTACATACGAAAGTTATTTGACTCACCCTGTATACCTACATATACATACATACAAGTATATATACAGATAGACAACGTACATATATACGATACATCGGTATCTACAATTTTCTCACATGGAGTCAAATGGGAGAAGAAAGTAGTAGTCTATGGAACGCGAAACTTTAAATCAATGATGGATTCAAAGCGAGTCAACTTTATTTCATTAAAGAAATCT